ATAACGAATCTGTTTTTTAAAATGCTTCTTGAAATATCGGGATAACAGACTAATGGGGATAAGCCGCAACTATGGGATTCAACGGTACGTTGCAAAATTAAAATGAGTTGCAGTATTTAGAAATCCTATTATATGAAGTCACAATGTCTATTGGGCAATACATTGACTTGGTGTCGCAAAGTATATCAAATGGTGCAGTTTATCCGTTGCAATTTAGTACAATGTTTTCCTTGGTTGTTAAAAAAAGTACTGTATTACAAATATTTTGGGTATATTTTCGTCTGAACACTACAAGGAAATCTTCGACCATGATTACTATACTTGTTAAAGGGAACTTAAACCCTTTCATCCCTTATGTAACTTTAGTAGACTCTACCATGCATTGTTCTGGATGAGTCCATTTTGGTATACAGTGTTGTAAGGGCTAAGGATGTGTATAAAACACTAATGAGTTTTATCAAGATATGTATGGTAACTTTAATTCATTTAGAGTTCATAAATGTATGGTACATATATATATAATATTACACCTATAGCCCAATGAAAGTACTGTATTACTGATACTATTTTAATAATTCATATTCAATAAATTTTAAATGAAGGGAATTATCTTACGTAGTGTGAAAAATCCATGTAGGACAACCAAAAAGTGTTTGTAAGTGACATTTCGACGCCTAGTACGGTATGTGACGTTTCGACGCCTAGTACGGTATGTGACGTTTCGACGCCTAGTATGGTATGTACTTGTGGACAACTTGTACACATTTACACCTTTGTGTACATACCCTCCACTGGTCATTTGTCTGATGAAGGAGACAGAGTACATACCATACTAGTCATTGAAACATCACATATAAACACTTATTGGTTGTGCTCAATGAACTTTTCAAAATCCATACTTACTAACCCGAAGAAAATGTAAAAAATACTTTTTGTACATATATATAAGACCAGCACAAATCTCTCAATTTTATTGTACTGTTTATGTTTTTACAATATATGTAACTACTTAATACTTCAGCATTCCACCAATGCACTAAATTCCCTTTTTTCTGAATTATATATATCTTTAATATTTAAATTTTACTTATGAAATATTTATTTTATTCTATAACAGAAGGATGCTCTTGCTTCGATTCTGTACATGGGTGTGCAAGGTATATGTGAAGGATTATGATATTCCGGGAAACTTTTCCCCAGTCAAACTTTTGCCCTTCACTGGTAAAATCTATATTTGCTCAGCGTTACGTAAGCCCTTCAAATGCAATGACTATATAAGGTATGCTACGCATGTACTGATATTTGCTGTAAAGAAAACTCGCCCTCATCATAGCAAGTGAAAAGTGTGAAAGTTAAATTGCGGCAAGAGTTTCCTGGTATACAGAACTTAGCCACACTTTATTCTAAAATACTTACCATTTTTATCCTGCAATAAAAACAAAGTGAGGGGAGGCTCATATACATACACCCTCCTTTCCCCATCTCGCTTTGCCTGTGACATTTGACCTTTTAACCTTGACCAATGACCACACAAATCTAATGAGTTGTAAAACTGAACTGAATCTAAATTTGTTTTGTGGTTTGTAAGTTGTCTTGTACACAAGATTTTTACTACAGAAGTGGTTAAGTGCGATCTTTGCCTGTGACCTTTGAGTCTGGACCGATGACAACTAATATCTAATTAGGTGTAGAAACTCGATGTGACATACTATGGTGTAAAATATAAACTAAATTTGTGTTAAGGGATTCATGAGATATGGTACAAAAGTATTTTACTTCAAAAGAGGTAAAATGTAACCTTGACCGATGACCACTAAAATCGAATTAGACGTAGAAATCGCTACTGCCATACTATATGGTATATATGAATTAAATGTGTTCAGGGGTTCATGAAATATTTTGTACAAAAGTTTTTTACTATGCATACATACACATGGACAGCTGACTTTACCAGATTCAGCCCAAATTGTTATTGACTCAAAGAAAGGCTTATTACATGACCTTGAAATAGCATCTGTCGGCATCTACCCTGAATTGCAATATATATTGGTGGGCTTATTAACAGGCATGGGCTTATTGCTGGATAAATATAGTAACATTTTAAACCATTATAAAGTTCATTTGTATTTTTTCCATGCTTTATCTACATAGCTAACCAAATCTGTGTTTTTGTTATTTGTTTACCTAAAGATGTACTTAGTACGTTTGTATTTTTGTCACACTTTTCTAATTGTCTTTTCTGTAAAACACACAAATTTCAAACACATTTTTGGCCGCTATATATTAAGAAAGCTTAGCTTTCATTATACTGTAACGCAGTTTCTAGTTTTTCTGGTAGACTGTTGTATACAGTATAAATGTGAAAAGAGATGGTGGAGATAACGATAGGGAAGTTTGTAAGGGTTGAAGATGTTGAGAAAGCGAGTGTTAAAGAGGATGAGTGTGGCTGGGTGATAGAGGGTGCAAATGTGCAGACTCTAAAATGGAGGGATTGTTTTTATCATTAACATTTTTTAATATAAGAAAATTTGTTTATCGGATATTTTTTTAGAGAAAAAAAAAACATTCGGACAGTTTCACTGGACAATTAAATGTTCAGAGTGTTAAAAATACAAATTATCAAAATAAAGTCACAGCTACCTTTTTAGCGCTAGTTCCCTGGTCCAGTCCCATCACAGTTCTATCAGAAAAATGAAGGGGAGGTAACTGTACGTATGAAAAAACACACAATTATCTAATGCTTTGCCTGCAATGGGACAAGGATCATTAACTCATTCACCCCTTAAGACACATATAAACTCTTCCAATTCAAAGGTTGGAATAGTTCATTATGAAGTTTTAGGGGTGAATGAGTTAAAGTTTTGTATACATTCAAGATCATTCACAAGATGATGTATTAATATATTCCTTTTTGTTAGCTGGTTCCCATGGCATCATTTTGTGTTTTCATGTGAAAAAGATTTTTTGTATAATAAAGATGTATCAACAAAATATTAGTACTATGAAAATGGGTGAAAATTGTGTATGTGAGAATTTGCTGTTAGCTCAGCATAAGTTTGAGTTATCTCCCTTGTGGATTTATCACTATTTATGCACTGGTAGCGCTATTATTGAGGCATGTATGTGTTACATAGTTCAAAATTGTCCAGTTATTTTTCTGAAATCATTGTGGAATTTTCTTTGTGTGTGATGCAGAATATGTTGTATATCATATTAATATAATGACTAACTCGTTCTGCCAGACAATGGTACATGATTTTGTTTCACAACTGTCTATGTATAACATTTATATTTTTAACGTTTCATTTGGTTGACTTTACATGGTAAATAAAAAAATAAAAGGCCCATGGGGTCTGTATCTATAGCCTGTCATTTAGTTTTTTATTTCTGCCAAGTAATAAAAAGAGAAACTTTTATAATACTTGACCAGTCGATAGTCCTCTAGTCAGTGGAAAAGTTTCAAGGTCAAACTTGTCCAGTTGATATGTTAGTCTTATCAATTAAGTGATCTCAAGATCAAATATGACCCATACCTTTAGTCCATGGAAGAATCTCTCAAGAAAAGTTTCCGAAGGTTTATTCTTATTGATACAGAAGTTTAATCTATTGAGCGAACTCGAGGGCAATTATGACCAATCCCATACCTGAATTAACTTGTCATTTTTAGCTCACCTGGTTCGAAAGACCGGTGAGCTTATGCTATGGTGCGGCATCCGGCAACTTTTCCCGAAAATCGCTACTAGTCGTAAACGACTCAGCAGATTTTGACCAAATCTGGTCAAAAGCATCCTTGGGGGAAGGGGAACACATTTTGGATAAATGGTGAGTCTGGCCTCCCTGGGGGCTGAGGGGCGGGGCCCAATAGGGGAAATATAGCAAATTCTTTAAAATCCTTCTTCTGTAGGAATGAAAGCATTTGTTCCATATTTGGTCAAAAGCATCCTTGGGTGAGGGGGAACCAATTTTGTATAAACCATGGGTCTGGCCCCCAGTCTGGAGCATCCTTGGGCCAAAGGGGACTCAATTTTGTATAATTGGTGGGTATGACTCCCCTAGGGGCATAGGGGTGGGGCTCTGTTTAAAGATTCTTGCTATATCTCAAGTACTGGATAGATCTTTCTGAAATTTCATATGTACTTGCAGCACCTACCATGGAGTGCTATATCTTTACTTCATACCAATTGTTTTCAACATATTCAGGTGAGTGATACAGGCCCTCTGGGCCTCTTGTTTTTTTGTTGCCTTACACCTTTGTGTTCAAACACTTTACTGGTCGTTTGTCTGATGAAGGTGACATATATCCTGTTAATAAAACGAACCTCATTCATAAATCTTCCACTGGTTGTGCTGTATGAACCTATACTTTTCAATTAGAAATTCAGGCCAACAATGTTTCACATTAATTTCAAAAATCTGTGCAAACTCATAAATATAAACTTTATTTATTTTCCAACAATTATGAAACAAAGTTATTTCAACTTATATTAATCACTCTTGTTGGCCCGGATGTTAGCACGTGGGGGGGTCTTAGTGTGGGAGGAAACCAGAGTACCCAGAGAAAACCCATGTGATCGGGCAGGTGACCCCAACCTTTTCACGTCCCATCGTGGAATTGAACCCCGGCCGCCTTGGTGAAAGGCAAGTGCGCTATCCACTGCACCACCCGACCACATGCAAACCCATCTTTTATAGGAAACTAGAGAAACCTGGTGAGGAAGCTTACAAAGGTATACCCCCCTGCATCATTTTATCTACATATTCAAACTTTGGTTTGTAGGAGGTATCATACCCCAATCACAAATCCCTTCCATAATGCACATTTACATATGTTGTTCTTTCCTGTGCTAAGTTACGAAAAACTCAAACACACAGTGAATTAGAAGGAGGAGTTACACTTATGAAGTTCATTGACAGATGGACACTCCGACAGGATGATTCCTATTCCTCACCCCTACAAATTTTGTTTGCAGGAGTTATAACAAAAAACAATTGACAAATGATAATGATCAGAAATACCATGATTTATTTTATCATTAATGATAGTTTCTGTAATAACGGAAGAAAATTACTGAGGTATCAAAAATGGCAGGTAAAGCTAGTGTATGACAGAATTCAAGATATCTCAAAAAATTATATATCTTTGATACAACATTTGATAATGAACAAAACTTTTAAATGCCCTTCTATACTTCCCCTCATGAAAGCAAGTTTATGATTCAGATCTATAACCAATTTTACATTACAAAGCACCTGAGCTTTTAAACAAGATTGTGCAGAGATTATAATGAAATAAATGCAGTTTTCACAGTTCACAAGATGTCCTTTGTAGGGTCACAGACTAGAGGTCAAGTTCGGACGTGATGTCCATCTTCTCTGTGTAGATTTTGATACTGGGGGCGACTTCCTCCTTGATAAACTTGGTCACCTGTCAACAGTGGTGTAAGGTCAAGTAGCGGGGAAAGACAATACAAACATCTATATTGTAGCATACACATCATTCATAGTATAATTGATAAGTTGCATCTTAAGGATAACTGTACCAATGTCTAAAATTGTAACTGTGCATTGGAAACAGTTGTCTTTTCTGAAAAGAAAACCACACCTTGTGGAACTTTTATGAGATACTAAAAAAGATGATATAAAAAGATCTACAACAATGGTTTGAGTGTAAAAATGCATTGTGGCGAAGCCATTATTCGAACCTCGGAATTCAGATCATTGCACCTGAAACTGGGCCCGCAAATGTGCGTCACAATTTTCCCTATAGTTGACTTATTACCCAAAATTAACTCTTTTAAAAGAGTCTAGGACACAAAGTTTTTTTGTTGCAAGACAATTTGTGTGACAATCTAGAGTCTGTTGCATAAATACCTGTTCAGGGGCCCGGCCAATGAAATTACTTGGTTCCAGCAATTTATCGAGACAACCACGGACCGGCTCGAAGTAGGCTGATTTTTTTAACCTTTGTACAAGGTCATTCTCTCCACCTTCCTGCTTGACGACCATCCCCGCCTCCTGAGACAGGACACGTATCTGCTCATGGCACTCCTAAACAGAAAATTGTATACACCACTGGAGGCTACCAACGACTCTTCTTGGAATACATTACGTTTATTGAAAACTTACCGTTAACTAATACCCATACCAGTGTAACAGGAAAGAGAAACACACGGACAGACCGGAATTCAAACCCAGGATCCTCTGAAATCTTAAGACAAATGCTCTACCAACTGATCTACGTAGTCCCCGGCGATTGACCCAATCCAGTTCCGCAACACTGAATATTTTAGTTTTCCTGGACATTCCTCAGTGGACATTATTATTGCCCTATTAAGAAATTCCTTATTGGATGTGTGTTCTGTCTAAAAAGTTCCTTTGTTTGTATTACAGTCATTCTTTGATGTTTCGAACTTTGAGGGACCATTGGGAAAAAATTGAAACATGAAAGATTTCAACTCACGAATGTTGAACAGGGCAGAATGTGATTGTTAAATGACAGAACACAAGGCTAAAATCTTATTTGAAACATATAAATATTGGATTTAATGTAATTAGAAAATTTTGTATGATTTATTTGTGTACTAAGATTTGCATGTTCAGATGTTCCAATGTTCTCATACAGGTAACTGCTTTACTTTGTTTTATTAGTTGTCTATACTGCCTTCCTAGAAAGTCTTCATGTGATGTACTTTCTCTTCCTACTGATTCCTCATAGGACATCATTAACCTACATAGAAACTCCACATCGGAAACTTCCTTGGACATCATTGCCTTAAAATAATTTCCGTTATACACTGTTCTTTTCTTCACTTTGTATAATAGGGAAACACAGATATTTAAAAAAAATCAAAAAAATCCCAATGTTTTCTTTGTTAAAGGTCAATAAATATTTCATTTTAATGAAATAAACGAAACACCAAGAACCATTGAAAAATATCAAATGTTTGCATGTAATTGAGTCCAAGTGAATAGGGGTTGCACACCAGAACGATTAACTCTTTCATGGACGAAGCAGAATTTCTCTATAAACTATTGCCCTTGTTGGGTAATATTACATAGTGATTCTTAAAACTGCTGGAATACACTGTCATTGATTACTGCCCTACCTGGAAACAATTTATCCTGTCGGAGACTCTAACTTGGAAACCTGTTCGGAAAGTCTCGCCTTTCCTTCAAACAAGTTACATATTTCCAGATCCCACCTAGTCGACATACCTGTCTGTTGCTTCCAGCGTTCACCATAGCAATAATGATATCCTCCGTAGCCATGAAGGGTAACTCTTGTCTGACCCTCTTCTCTATCACCTGGAAAGGGAGATAATCTTGTGAGTCACTCTGTACTTTATTAATTTTCCTATGCAAAACTATGGTTTCTATTTGAACTAAAAATGTAATGAAAGTAAGCATCATTCAGTGTTCAAACTTGACAGTTTATCATAGACAAACAACATAAAAAACACAGTAGAAATATTGGAAATATTTACTTCATAGACCAAGTTGTCTACAATGTTATTGACTATTTTGTGTGTCACCCTGGTAAAATACTAGCCACTTCCAACCGACTCAGCTGAAGATAATTACTCTTTAGATCACTCAGTAGAGTACTCAGCATTACTTGCAAAGAATCGCTATGACCCCTGGAAAACTGGATATGACTTCTTTCCTGGAGGGAGTATGTCACCCTGGTAACATATACTACTGTAGCTGCTTCCTATCGACTCGAATAGAGGGAATTTCTATTTGGATCAATTGGTAGAGCGTAAAATTAGTAAACCAAAGGTCCAGGGTTCGACTCCTAGCGAGGGCATTGAAAAAATAATTACCTCTGTTAACAAACATTTGATTCAAAGGGTATAGTTATGAGGGAAAAGTTATTCCGTAAAATTACTTTTATTCCTTTCTCATTATAAATGTTTTCTTCAATCCTTAATTCTGATCTATAGATAAAACATACCGGTCAAACTCTGGTCTATGACCATCTCGGTAGGTCTATAAGAAGTCAATATTATATAGACCTATTGTCTTTGGTGTGTAAATTCTAAATTCTAAGACTGGTCATTGTTTGGACTATATCTATAACCTTGACCTTGACATCTTGAAATACAAACTCACCTAATATATTCATATGTTCATTTTTTGTACACATGCAGTCTTCAACAAACTTTATATTTCTCCTAAAGTTGTATTACAGGTGCCTACACTGTAACACATTACCCTTTTTATATTAAGTTTGTTAAAGCATGCGCTCTATAATTTCCAGGAGAGGAACTATGCAAAATATGACAATATTCACGAAATATTCAATTTTTTCTAATATGCAAATTTGAACTTGTTACCATGGCAACAATACTTTGAAATACAAATAAATATTTTCATAATAGTATTTGGAAAGTATTCAAAATAAAATAAAAGGTTGTTTGAAAGATCATTTAAAAGTTTTGAACTTTGGTGCATTTAAGGGGCCAAAACATGCCCTAACCATACATATAGTCCTTTCTAAAAGTATTTAACACTGGTGATGTTTGGTTTCAAATCTTTGAATCCTGAAATATAAACTCATTTTAGTACTTGACCTATCTGCAAAGATTTTTTTCTCTCCAAAATCTGTCATGAAATGAAGTCAGAATAACTGTAAAACACATTGGCACTTGACAAATCCTTACCTTTGGATAGACCACAATACCTTCCGAGATGTTCTGTAACGTGCTTAGAACAATGTCTGCTGTCAGGAAGGCCTCTGGCAAACACACCCTCCTGGAAAATAGATGACACAGGTGATTATATTTAAAGTCCCATATTTGTAATACCTTAACTGTAGTCCTTTGTGCTACATACTGACAAGTAAAACTAAAATGTTAATTTTTCTTGCAATAAGCCCATGCTTGGTAATAAGCCCACCCAAATATGTTGAAGTTCAGTAGAAATTCCAACAAATCCTATTTTCGTTGTCCTTTAATAAGCCCATCCCCCTTCGTTTCAGACAGATTTAGTGTTCGACCTCTGCATTGGCTTATTTCAGGATAAATATGGTAGTGTGGTTTACTACTTTTTAAGAATCTGGCGAATCTCTTTCCAATAATTCTCAGTCTATACCGTCTTTGATGTTTGGTCCCAACATTTCCTCTCTTAATTAAAACTAGATGGCCCCTGTCTAATCCTGTGTACTCTTATATCAGATTTTGTTTTCTGGCCTGGCTATATTCATTCTTGTCAAAATGCTCTTGGGATCCCAGCTTTTCAATTTTTCTAAAGTTAGGTCTTCTCTTTTTCATTCAATGTTTAGAAAGGAAAATACACTATGTACATCGATATCCTAAATGTTGATACCCAGAATCGCTGGCTGTAAAAAACTGGACCCTGAAAAGGCCAGTTTAATATTTCAGTCCCAGTAATATAGCAAGATGAGACAGGTGATTTCCCCCACAACTGCTATAGGCTAACATCCTGGACATTATTTACTTGGTCAATCATTTAATCATGACGTCACGGAACAATGCTTTGTGACGTCCTCTTCCATTGTGACATCATGACTCATTGCTGTCGTTTTCCAATTCAGAAACAGACTTTTCTTAATTAGGGACATTTAAGAATGAATATTAACTATTATGAACAATAATGACCTATTTGCACTGTCGTCAAGAGTGCGTTCCATCCACTGAACTGAGGCTGTCATTAGTGGATCCTGGACAAGACACATCAGGTGACGGGCCAGCGCACAGCAACGCTCGCTTCTCATAGGGTTACGTTTGTAGGGCATGGCACTTGATCCTGTCAGAATTGAAAGTAAAAAAAAAATAAATAAACAAAAGAAAATATATTCCATTTACTGAGAAAATGGTGGGTTACGATGAGAAAAGTTCAGTTAATTAGAAGTGTTACCAGTGGAGGTCTGGGGCCTGTTCATTTATGTGGAACAACCAGTTTAAAAATGAAACAATTTTGGATATAAATCCTGGCAGACCTGCAAATGTTTGTGCAGCCCTTGTCAGGCTTTGTCAAGGCTCGCCTGAAAGGTGCATAAGATTACTAGGTCCGACCTTACTTAATAAACAAACAACTGTGGTCCGACCGGTTAAACCGTTTAAACGAAAACAATCCAGGTTAATCTAAGTTGATTACAGTACAGGAAGCACATTACAGTATTTCAATTTTATTGTCACTAAAGACAGATTTTTCTGTTCGAGAAGAAATACACTTTTCAATTCATCCGTATTGGATTTTCAAATATTTTACTAAAACTGTCGCTGGAATGGCAGACTATACCCCGCCTACGCCAAAAATCCCAGACAGACACACGGACAACCTGATACTCCTAAATTTTGTTGTGGGGTATACAAAAAAATGTCTACTTACCAATCTGTTCTTTTTCAAATGGTTCCTCAAGTTCCTTAAAGCTTGCTAATAAACGAATATCGGTACAAATCTGAAAAAAAAAGCCCAGAAAATATCAAAACTTTGTTTAATCACGACATAGACATTGAGACAATTCAAGTCCAACGTCTAAATATAGCAAAACTCTCTAGATAACGTGTACACAAAGTAAGGTCATGGAAAAGAGCAGAAAAAGGTATGGTATACTGTAGGCACTCCTTAACCCTTCACCCCTACGTAACTTTAGTAGACTCTACCATGCATTGATCTGGATGAGTCCATTATGGTCTACAGTGGTGAAAGGGTTAAAATAAAAGAGGGACATAACATGTGTATCCTTCATACGCAGAGGTGGGAGAAATGTAAATTCACCTTTGTCATAAGATAACTTTTTGTTAGACCACTAAAAAAACACCCCAATCTTAAACATTTCTTTGGTGTATTGTTTTTACTCCAAACAAAGGTGGAAATGGATCTTCAGGGCCATTATAAGAAAAAAACGACAATTGCATGCTTTTACAGATTTAAGCCAGGAGAAAGTAATTTTAAAAAGTGACATGTCGAAAAACTGGCATCATAATCTGACTTTAAGGGATATTCAATTTGAATTGCATAATATTAAACAAACAAAATTTGATATTTCTTAGGAAACTGAGAATAGATCACAACTTTATTAAGAGAAGGTCAAATCTGACGATATTTATACAAACTAAATTACAGATGACTAAAAAAAGAAGTGTGTTTCAGGAAAGATGATAATAACAAATATATGATATAAGCAGAGTGACATAAGTGGAAACTACTGTATTAAGAAATTTAATCAGTAATGATTCGCATTGTTATAATCATAATAAAGGAATAGAGACCAACACTAAACTGCATAAATTTTCAAATACAAATTTCTTGCTTTGTTTTTAAATGAAATTTCAATTTTTTCATTTGTCTTTCAGATTGTTTACCACAAACATTTGATATACACATGTATACAATTTGAATGTCTTCAGTCAGAATTTGTAGTTTTTTTATTTACCAATTGGATCGCAGAGAAATTTCTCATGCAACTGACAATTTCAAAGTCTCAAGTGTCTTCTGAAGATTCGGTTTCATTTCTTTGTAACACCATTAAATAAATGAACTTTAAACATTTTACAACAGTTATGAAACAAGCTATTTCAACTTATATTAATTACTCTTGTTGGCCCGGGTGTTAGCGTGTGGGGGGTCTTAATGTGGGAGGAAAAAGGAGTACCCGGGGAACAACTACGTGGTCGGGCAGGTGACCCCGACCCCGTACCTTTTCACGTCCGTTCAGGGAATCCAACCCCGGACGTCTTGGTGAAAGGCAAGTACACTATCCACTGCACCACTCAACCACCCTTAAGGAGGCTCCACCCTTTCGCAATTAACCAGCAGAATTCAATGAAAGTTTCACATAATGATTATGTCGCTATGCAGAGACGATTTTATGAAAATCTAAGCATTCTGATAAACTGGGTATTTTTTTGTGTAAAAAATACTGAAAATTGAATTTTTGTCAAATTTAAAACTTTCACATTTTTTTAGTGTGTGTGGCATTGTTCAAAACTATTACAACGATGAAATAATGAAAAGAAGCATTGCTAATCAACCCTACAAATATTTTATTTATCATAAAATATCTAAAACATGTTACACAAAATGTTTTTTATTGAAATTGTGTGGATAAAAGTTATTATATACAAGCTTAAAGCAAACGGGACACATAGATTCATACAAAAACATAGAAAAATTGAACCAAGTCTTTATTATTCATTTATTTTACATTTTACAATCATTTTGATCCTGATAAGAGTTATCTACCTTGAAAAAAATCTTGACTTTTTTGCAGGGGGATAAAATGTATACAGTGACAATAAATTTAATTATGATATTAATATTGTCAATTTACTGTTCTTTTATGGAACAAAATTACTCTTAATCATGTACACTTTGGACATCATTCCGTAGCCCACTTACGCATGGTATATTTACATGTCATGTACATATGTAACCATAGGCTATCGCATGGTATGAGGTCGATAAACAAAACACATCAGTCTACATTCCATGTGCCTCATAAACGACCTACGTGAATTTGTCTGATCTGATGTCAGTGTCTTCCCGTTAGTTCGTTTGTCTTTCTATCATAAGCTTTATTTCTGAAGTACGTGTGACTACACATTTCCCAGTTCAATCTCAATATCAGGTGTTGACATATCATCGTCACGCATGTGTACTACTCTTTACCCGGTGTTATTATAAACTACACTATGGTAATGGAATGCCCGATATGCAATATGGAAATGACGACACAAAAATATGATAAGAACAACATGTGTATTACGAAGGGTGGGAAGTCCTTAAACATCTTATGATGTTATTTCAAATGCCACCATAAATCTTGTGGGTAGACGACACTTCAACATTTCAGGCTTATATATATATTGTCTAGTCATAGGTTTCCGCGCGTTATATATTTCCGCACAGCCATTTTTTCAAGCTATATATCGTTACTACATGACCTGCTGGACACTACACAAGGACATTTAAGACGTTTATTCATCGTTTGTTAACCGACACAATAATCACCGGATGTTCGTCCGCAAAACATAAGAATTAATCACTGATTAAAAAACATGCAGTTTTGCTTAATGCACTTTTTATCTTGCTCAAAATGAACCCATACCTGAAACAAGAGGCCCAGAAGGCCTGTATCCGCTCACCTGAATATGTTTAAAATAATTGGTATGAAGTAAAGATANTAATAGGGATAAAATCCTGTCATTCATTCATTCATTCATACAGAAGAAGGTATTTGAAGAATTTTCCCTATTGGGCCCCGTCCTTCTGCTACCAGGGGGGCCACACTCACCGTTTATACAAAATTGAGTCCCTTTTGCCCAAGATCCTCCAGACTAAATTAAGATAAAATCCCTTAACCCCTATGGTAGAAGAAGGATTTTGAAGGTTCACCTCTATTTCCCCTATTGGGCCCCGCCCTTCTGCCCCCTTGGAGACCACACCCACTGCTTATACAAAATTGAGTCCCCTTGGCCCAAGGATGCTCCAGACTAAATTAGTATAAAATCCCTTAACCCCTATGGTAGAAGAAGGATTTTAAAGGTTTTACCTCTATTTCCCCTATTGGGCCCCACCCCTCAGGCCCCAGGGAGGCCAGACACACGGTTTATAACAAATTGGTTCCCCTTCACCTAAGAATGCTTCAGCCCAACAGAATAAGAATGATTTTAAAGAATTTGCTATGTTTCCCCTATAAGGCCCCGCCCATCAGGCCCCTGGGGGGCAAGACCCACTGTTTATACAAAATTGGTTCCCCTTCCCCCAAGGATGCTTCAAACCAAATATGGAACAAATCCTTTGATTCCTACAGAAGAAGAAGGATTTTAAAGAATTTGCTATGTTTCCCCTATTAGGCCCCGCCCCTCAGGCCCCTGGGGGGCAAGACCCACTGTTTATACAAAATTGGTTCCCGTTCCCCCAAGGATGCTTCAGACCAAATATGGAACAAATCCTTTAATTCCTACAGAAGAAGAAGGATTTTAAAGACTTTGCTATATTTCCCCTATTCGGCCCGGCCCCTCAGCCCCCAGGGGGGCAGACCCACCATTTATACAAAATTTGTTCCCCTTCCCCTAGGATGCTTCTGATCAAATTTATATTTAAGTGATATATTTAATTCATGAACCGTTTTTTTTGTAGTCTGACAAACGTACGAAAATGTCGTATATATATGAGGCCACATCTCCTCGCCGAAAAGCAAAGGAGACATTTTTATATCGATATAAACACACTTTGCAATGAAACGTTAACCTTGTAATGCAATGAAATTCCAATTTTCACCAATTTTAAACAGAACAAAATGAGAAATAACTTACCATCAACCAAAACCGAAATAAGACTGGATAACAAAAATAATAACAGATTCTATTATAACTAAATAAATAAAATAGATAAATTTATAAAATAACATTAATCCGTTCATGTTGACATGTTGAAAAATCATTTTAAGATGTGAAATTAATAAAAAATCTGTTTTGATAATTAATTTGATGATCAAAGATATTTTTTTTATACCAAACGAAGCCCAAACGAAGCTTTTGTTCGTTCGAGCCACTGTGGAGAATTTATCTTTAGTGTATACTAGTTATCTTTCTTTGAACACTAAATCAAAATAGTCACACAGAAACATATGACGGCTACTTCCGATTGGGAAAAAATTGTTAAAAATTGTTGAATCTGATTTTTTTAAATAGAGTTTTATGTTGCTAGTTTTTTGTTTCCATTAGTAGATTGTATACATGTCTATTACAATCATCTGTAAGTTCAACAGTTTTCTACCGATATGCTTCTCAAGTGTGTGGAAACCGATACCTTATGAACAGACGCCCCCAAACTGGCTAGTGTACTCAGACAGTCCGCATCCACCTTCCTGCTGTATGTCTGACCACAGATCAGGATATTTCTGAGTAAAAACAATTTCATTAAGTTATGGTAAGTGATTCCTGAAACCAGCAAAAACATCCGCAGCAAAATCGGTATATCCAATTGAAATTAAAAATTTCCGGGAAAATGATTTATATTATGAAAAATACGAGCGAATATTTTGAGTTTGGCAAATATCATGATACCTGGGCCTGTAATCATGATACCTGGGCCTGTAATCATGATACCTGGGCCTGTAATCATGATACCTGGGCCTGTAATCATGCTCAAACTCAGATTTTGAATCAATAAAAGCAAATACATTTTGTCAGTGTTTTGGAAGAAGTTTGGAAAGACAAAAATACAAAACACCGTTTTCAATGGTTAAATTGGACTGTTTCATCATGTAACAGGATTCAAGCCAATAGATATAAGTACCAACCTACTGATGTCGCTTGAGCTGGTCGTGATTAATTCCTGTCTGTTTATATTTTCATGTTTCATTAATAACCCTAATTGCTGCGTTCGGGTATCCACGCTCAAGCGCAGCACCCCACTAAATAACCCGTTAACTTTTGGACTTGTGTTGGCTCAATTTTCCTGTTTAAGTCTATGATTTAAGCCAGTTACATGAAAGATTGTTTAAGCACAGAATTCATGCTTGAGAATGGTTTCATGAATACGACACGTCTTTAACTCATTGAACCCTGAAATTTCATAATGAACTATTCCAACCATTGAATTGGAAGAGTTCAAATGTGTCTTCAGGGGTGAATGAGTTAAATGACCTTAGCTGTTGATGCAACATGTAACCCTGTACAACCAATCACGAAAACAAAACCTTATCTTGTTCTGTTCAAATTGACGACAAACAATGCTCTTCATCAAGTAACAAAATGTCTACCTTTGAAACCCAAGGGCTTCGCTCTCATTGAACATGTCTTCTCTGCACCCCTGGAATGTGTCATGACAAATCAAATTCCTGCAGTAAGCTAATTTTGGGTTAAAAAAGATGACCAATCCCTCGGTCAATGACTGTCCTTATATATATGTTCTTTTAAGTATAGTGGTGCTGCAGCACCAGAATTCAAAACCTGTCGATTTTACCGTTATCCTGCTGCCGTTTCTTTGATCTTCATCAAAAACATCTAGCATAGACCTATATCCTCCGCAAGGAGCTGCATTAACCCTTTCACCACTGTAGACCATAATGGACTCATCCATATTAATGCATGGTAGTCTACTAAAGTTACATAGGGGTGAAAGTGTTGTAGCGGAACTTGACTGGGTCGATCGTTGGCGACCAGATAGCTCAATTGGTTGAGCATCCGTCTAGAGTTCGGAAGGTCCCGGGTTCGAACCCGGGTCCGGCCATGCATTTGCCCTCTCCTGTTACATTTGGCGCCCAAAAAAATATACCCACAGAAAGTGGTATAGGGTCTCATGTGTCTTTGGGGTCGAAAACTTTGTTATAAAGGAGGGAGGAATGTAGCGGAACTGGACTGGGTCGATTGTCGGCGACCAGATAGCTCAATTGGTTGAGCGTCCGTCTAGAGTTCGGAAGGTCCTGTGTCCAAACCCGGTCTGGCCGTGTATTTTTCCTCTCCTGTTACAGTGTTAAGAGCCTCTGATTTTGTCATGACATATTTCAAGGGTGAAGTGAAGAAAAATTTTACGGGAGCAGAACTCTTGGACTTCACCAATGCTAATTGTCCTTTTAGTTCACAGGGTGTGAGGCCATCAAAATTGAGTGCCAAGCTTTGACCCATAAAAAGGCCTTGACGTTGAGGTAATAGCTATTGAAACAAGGACATTTTTTTTCTCTCATAACAAAGTAATCATTGGTCACATGACAAGTTTCAGTTAATATCATTTGTCACTTTAGAAAGATATCGCCCAGGTAACGATTGCGTTAAAAACAAAAGTATGTCTTTTTTCGCTACTATATTTATAACTGTCACTGGAGGAATACTCAAGCGCCTTAATAGACTAATTTTACAATTTATATAGGGAGTTTATTATCAATCAAGTACATGTACAACTAAAATAACCAAAACTTTAGGGTACAAACTGGATCATCCAGTAAAAAAACTATATTTAGCTATCTTCAATGAATAAGTAAGTTCTTACTTTTTAAAGCCTGCTTTCTCTGTAACAAGTCTATCTAGTTCTTCAACCTGTAAAACAATTAAAAAATTAGGACATGATATAATTATTTTTTTTGCTGAGTACCGTTCTAGTTATTGAAACGTCACATAGAAATACTTATTGGTTGTGTTACAAGAATCTTTTCAAAATCCATACTTACCAACCTTAAGAAAATGTTTAGAAATACCCTCTTCCCTAATTGACTACTAAGAATATACTGTTTATTTATCCGGCAATGAGCCCAGGCCTGGTAATAAGCCCATAAACGTCAAAAACAGTTCAGTAGATCTAGAAATGCTAACAAATAATAATTTCATTGTCCTGCAATCAGCTCACCCTACTCTGATTTAGAGTTGGACCCCCAGGATTGTTGCAGGATATGTATGGTTGTCGTCTGCACATTTGTTAGCTGGTACAAAAAGGTAAAAAAATCCACTCCAAGGTTCAAATACAAAATATACGACAGATCACAAAATTAAAGTGGTTTAAGGGAGAGGTTAAATTCATTCCAGCATTTTAATGTTTAAATAAAAGAACCCTGATGATTTTTATTTTTTTCAAGTAATAAAAGTTCTTGCATAAAATCATTCTTACAGTATACTGTAGTATCACTATTTACTTAATAATATTTCAAGTGCCTTTGGGACTACATTCATCAGATAAAATATGGATTTTTTTTAATTTAACATCAAGGAAAATTATTTCCCAACATCTAAAATAACTGCAAATTGAAATAAAAAAAAACACATTTTTTTTCTCTTACATATATACTGACCTTTTCGGGGTTTCGTTTGAAGAGTGCCATAAAACTGGCCTGGGTTCCTGTTGTCCCCTTGACACCCCGAAACCTGAGATTGTTTCGTGCCGTTTCCAAGTTCTGCACATCCATGAGAAGGTCCTGTATCCACATGCATGCTCTTTTTCCCACGGTGGTCAGCTGAGCTGGTCTACAACATAACGATGACAATTAGGATTTATCATAAGATAAGATCAATCATGCATGGCTGATAGACCCTAGTTATGTAGCAGATCAGAGGTTATTACTTTTCAATGCCTCTGCTAGAGATCGAACCCAGGATCTCTGGTTTACTAGTTTGATGCTCTACAGAATGAGAGGAATTGAAAATTCTCCCTAGCTGATCAGTTGGTAGGATGTGGTTAGTATTTTAACTGAGTGACACATTCCCCCTCCAGGAATGAAATTCATCCCAAAAGGGATAAAATGATACCAACTAGAGTATAAAGGTAAGTATTTCAGTCCATATCCCAGGTCCCTACATGGATACCAATGTAAGCAAAGTAATTTTTTTAAATGCCTCAACTTTGGATCGAACACGGGACCTCTCGTCTACCTGTCTGATGCTCTTCCGAATTACCGTAAAGAGAAATTCTCTCAAGCAGAGTCGGTAGGAAGCAGCTACATTTAACCGGATCACATATTCCCCCTATGGGTATAAGAACTTGCCCAGAGTGTTTCCAGGGGTTACAGCCATGCTTGTGAGAAGAAAGGTAAGTATTTCATCTGTCATTATTACCTGGGTACTATCTATGTTTGTCGCAATGTAACAGAGGCCATTATTTTTCACTGCCTCCGTTTGGGATCATACCCAGAACCTCTAGTTCACTAGTCCGACTTGACTGAATGAGCTGAAGAGAAATTCTCCTTTGCTCTGGTCACTTAACACAGGTTATTAAGTGACAATTTTTTTTATATAAATAATTCTAAAATGGTTACTGCCATGAATAAATATTGTATTGATGAATAATGAGCTGATACATGTATGCAAACATCGCATTGTACCTATGCCGTCCTTGCGTATTGCAGAGTTATCTTCTCTTGTGAGCAGGTATTGATTGTTACGTCATTGGTTTGTGCGAGAAAATTATGTCGTTTTCTCAAAAATTGATGACGTTACTCTCACAAACAAATGACATAACAATCAATACCTGCTCACAAGAGAAGATAACTCTGCAATACGAAAAGACGGAATACATCACTAGCTATTTTTATTTTTTTTGAAGAAATCTTAAACCTGTGTTACGGGAATACCTGTCTAAAGCGACCCTTTTTAATGACTCCTGCCAATTTGAAAAGTATAAATTGATAGATTTAACTGTAAGACATTTTAACTTCATGGTACTTGTCATCTTATACACGAAGAAATGTGCCGATTCCAAACTCACTGTAAATGCGTATAGGCAAGGCAAGGCAGTTCTCTGTATTTATCAGCAAATGTGGTCAGTCTCTGTATACATCTTGCCAGCTACATAAAAAACCCAATAAAAACAGGAAAATTACATATGTATTCAAATATAAGATAAAGGACTGCCTTCTTCAATATTTTAATAAGTGATAAAAATCCACAATTTCCTCGGACATTTCAGAAATGTTAAACAAAAACTGATAAAAAAATCCCATTTTTTAATCTGAATTACAATATGGATCAAATAAAAAATATTCTAGCAATAACATAATGCCGTTTCTTAATTTTCCATATACATGTAGATGTAAAAGGATCGGTTTTCACTTCAAAACCAACACCCAGGTTCGGTGATCTTGGGTCCATTAGGGTCTTGCAGTCTAAAATGATTGAAGTTTGGCAAATAAACACAGACAACGAAATATAAAATTCAGGTAGTTTATTAATGACATGAAATATCTACGCACAGGGACATGAGTTTAGACCACGCTGTCACACACTCGAGCACACATACACCTCAATAACATGGCTTTATTTACAGGTGGTACAAGGCCTAACTGACTATATATATCGACGACTACACGGCCATATGCCTATTGAATAGACGCCGAAATGATATACTGACGGCTACACGGCCATATACCTATTAAATAGACGACGACATGGTTCAAACACGACTCTAAAACTCCTACAACAATACTACATGGCTACAGAGAAACTACTGGTAGTACTGTGACTGGTAAACTATCTACACTAACATTACCCTATTGTGTTTGAGAGACCCTATACCTACAGCTACTCCTAAAGTAGAAAAGAAGTGAGCCGAACCAGTCCTGTCAAGACTTTTATTCTGACTGCCGAAGTACATTGATTGATTGATCGATAGGTTTTACGTCCGCACCACTGCCGAAGTACACAGGTGTACCGGCTTAAATAGGCAAAAACAAGGCACTTTGCACATGCAATAGTCGCGCAAAATTACTCTGAACATTTCCGCTGTTGCTATAGAGTTCCGAACAGTATATCAACTTCCGGTATATCGATGATCATGATGGAAGACTAGGCCTGGTAAGCAGACAGACGTCAAATATAACTCTTTAAAGTTTACAAATTTCCTAAAATTTTACATAGAATTCAAAATTTAACCATATTTTTTTTTTTAAATCAAATAATAAAAAAAAGAAGTAAATAGCCAACTGGTTTTGATACAATTTAATGAGCCATTATTTTCTGTTTCTCGAACAGAGCTGGAAATTCTAACATCTGTCAGCAAAATCCTGGGTGGTAAGGTTTTATCAGCCAAAGACTTGTTACAACAAAGTACCATGAATTCCACTAAGTATCACATATTTTTGCAATAATACACCTGAAAACCCCCCTTTATTTACTTAACAACAATTATGAAACAAGTTATTTCAACTTATATTAATCACTCTTGNAACCCATCTGGCCGGGCAGGTGACCCTTGTATACCTTTTCACGTCCGATTGGGGAATCAAACCCCGGCCGCTTTCGTGAAAGGCAAGTGAGCTCTCCACTGCACCACCCGACCACCCTTAGTACCAATTTTGTCTCACGGAATACATGGCAATAAAATCATTAAATTTCAAAAGACAGTTATCTCAAAATGATGGTTTTTTTAATTACCTTTGGTAGCAAGATGTCAAAACCGTCCCGCATCACTATCAGGTCCTGTAAAACAAAACAGTTCTTGAAGTAGAACCTTACAAACATTTAAAAGAATAAGATCATTCTTACTTAAATATCATTTCTTTAATATCCTTGGCTGACTCTACCTAAACTTTATGAGTTAATAGTTGTGATTTTATGAAATTAAAGTGTGCTATTGCAGTCGGACGAGAAATAGTGATAAAAAAGTGCCATCGCCAGGGCTCGAACCCATGACCCTTGGCTCTCCACCCCGATGCTCTACCGCTGAGCTAAAGGGAAAATCCCTACAGCTGACACATGAAAGGCAACTTAATCAATACACATCTTAACACTATGATGACACATCTACAATCAACTTCACTCTCTTCTCTGGTTTTTGAGAAGCAAATTTAATTATTATGCATTACATTATAGTGCTACAATGTTCACTATAATTAGCAATCTGGTCACTTATAATAATAATAATGTACAGCATTTGATATAACACCCTATCTAGCTAACATCAGCCACTCTAAAGCACTTTCCAGTACATAGATAGATATACAATTTATACAATCAATACAGTTAGCATATACATTGATCAATTCAATTTGGAGGAATTTGCAGGAGCTACCTTATCAGGCACTAACGACTAGTCCTATGCCACCTGGCTAATATCTCCCGATGTATATGCCTGCGTGTGTGCTGGAGATATTATGTGTTTTGTTTGTAGTAGGACCGTGCTTCTAAAAGCATCATTTATTAAGTGTCACCTCATTTGAATGCTAAAGCACAGATACCACATCATCCACCCCAGACCATTTTATACTCCACCTGGGTTGTTGGAGTTGTGTGGGCAGGAGAAAAACACTTTCTCTGAATATTCTGTGCCTAGGACGATTTCGGTGAACAAACCCCGGCCGCCTGGGTGGAAGGCGGTAGTGTTAACCACTTGACCAATCTGCCCATATAATTATGATTATAAATGGCTCAAAGCGGGCACTTATTGATTAATAAAATGTGAGCTACAATGGAAAAAGTTTGGAAATTTTATTCGTTCATTCACTTCATACAAGTTTATGGAACATCCGGCCATGATCTCTGCTTTAAAAGTATAGTTCCTGTAAATCATTGACCACGCCTAGTCAGGAGGAGAGAATTATTAATTTCAATTCCTTTCAAAAAAGGGGAGGGGTAGCACTTTTAAGAGGAAGGGTGCTAATTACGGCGAATATGATATTTTTCATTTTAATTTTTCAACATAAAAAAAGATCTGTTCATATGTAACAAGAGGCCCAATGGGCCTGCATCGCTCACCTGGTATACATCTCACACTTGTAACCTTTAAAGTGATCTTAAATTAAGCTAATAAAGGCGAAATATCAGTATTTATGATTAAAGGTAATTCTAAAGAACCTGTTAAAATTTTAAAAACATTTCACCCCTGTGACCTTGAAAGTCGAACAAAGGTCATTATGTTGAACAATTCTTATAGCCCTTTATCTCAGGATGCAACTTGCAAAACATCACCATCCTATCCTTTTGTTTATTGAAATTAGGTCATTTAAATGATTAAACATATTTGAGTAAATGTGACCTCGAAAGTAGGTCAAGGTCATTCAAATGAAAAAGCTTGATAGTCCTTCATCTAAGCATGCTACTGGCTAAATATCAACATTCTGGGCCTCATGGTTATCCTTTAAAGATTTAAAAAAAATGAACCCTCTGACCTTGAATATAGTTCAAGGTCATTCATTTGACAAACTTGGTACAAGTAGCCCTTCATCCCATCATGTTACAGGCCAAATATCATCATCCTGGGCCTTTTGGTTATTCAGAAAAAAGTTGTTTAAAGGTGTTGTTTTTTAAAATCAATTGACCCCTGTGACCTTGAATATAAGTAAAGTTCGTTCATTTGAAAAAACTTGGTACCCTTCACCCCAACATAATACTGGTCAAATATCATCACCCTGGGCATTTTGGTTATTCAGAAGAAGTTGTATAAAGGTTTTAACATATTTGACCCCTATGACCTTGAATATGGGTAAAGGTCATTCATTTGAACAAACTTGATAGCCCTTCATCTCAGCATGCTACTGGCCAAATAAAAAAGATTTTGAACATATTTGATCCCCGTGACCTTGAATCTGAGTGAAGGTAATTTATTTGAACAAACTTGGTTGCCCTTCATCCCAGCATGCTACTGACCAAATATCACCATACTGGTCCTATTTGGTTATTCAGAAGAAGTTGTATAAAGAATTTTTAAAACAATTGACCCCTGTAAATTCAAGGTCATTCATTTGAACAAACTTGGAAGCCCTTCATCCTAGCATACTACTGGCCAAATATAAACATCATGGGCCTTTTGGTTATTAAGTAAAGTCGTTAAAGGTTTTGAACATATTTGATCCCTGTGACCTTGAATATATGTCAAGGTCATTCATTTGAACAAACTTGGTAGCCCTCATCCCATCATGTTACAGGCCAAATATCATCATCCTGCAACTTTTGGTTATTCAGAAGAGGTTGTTTTAAAGATTTTGAACATATTTGATCCTTGTGACCTTGAAAATAATTCAAGGTCATTCATTTGAACAAAGTTGGTAGCCCTTCATCCTAGCATGCTACTGGCCAAATATCAACATCCTGGGCCTTTTGGTTATTCAGAAGAAGATGTTTAAATGTTTTATTAGACATTTGACCCCTGTGACCTTGAATATAAGTGAGAGTCATTTATTTGAACAACCTTGTAAGCCCTTCACCCCAGCATGCTACTGACCAAATATCATCACCCTGGGCATTTGGGTTATTCAGAAGAAGCTGTTTAAAGTTTTTAACATATTTGACCCCTGTGACCTTGAATATAGGTGAAGGTAATTTATTTGAACAAACTTTGGAGCCCTTCATCCCAGCATGCTACTGACCAAATATAACCATACTGGTCCTTTTGGTTGTCTATCAGAAGTTGTATAAAGGTTTTTCAAGATAATTGACCCCTGTGACCTTGAATATAGGTGAAGGTCATTCATTTGAACAAACTTGGTAGCCCCTCATCCCAGCATGCTACTGATCAAATATCATCACTCTGGGCATTTTGGTTATTCAGAAGTCGTTTAAAATTTTTAACATATTTGACACCTGTGACCTTGAAAATTGGTGAAGGTCATTTATTTGAACAAACTTGGTAGCCCTTTATCCCAGCATGCTACTGACCAAATATCACCACCCTAGGCCTTTTGGTTATTAAGCAGATGTTTAAAGTAAAATATTGACGTCGGACGACGCACCACGGCATAAGCTCACTTGGCCCCTTTGGGCCAGGTGAGCTAATAAAAACCATAAAACACATACATGTGCATCTGAATTTTTATGCATTGAATTAGTAAATTTATATTTACTGTGTTGTCCCCGACATAGGCAGAAGTGGCTCCCAGGTGTATAATTGGTGCAGCTTTAGGACAGCATGCAGCAAATGTGTGCACATGTGCCATGACGTCATGTCGTACACGTTTCTCCTCGAGAGCAGCATGCTCAAAGTCAATATTTTCAGCATTTGCTCTCATCTGATCGATCTGTTCTTCGGTAATGGTGACATTGTCCAGTCCTAGTTGCTGTAATTTTAATAAATAAAAAAAATGGTTATAAAATGGAATTCATTTAAAAAGCAAAACAAAATATCTTAAAACAAAATATCTTAAAACATTCTATAGGTATAATGATGGCCAAACAATTTGGTGATTTCCTCGTAAAACTGCATGTTGTTATAAAATCTAGCAACACCAATTTTGACTTTTTATTTGGCGGCATCATGGGCTTACAAAAGTTGAATGTGAGCTGACGTGAGCAACAATGTAAAAATTAGCAATTAAAAGACCAGCCTAAAACCCTCATAGAGTCAGTGCCTTTTTTTGATACAGAAGACATTATACATGTGTGGCAGATTTTAAATGTACATAGGATTATGGTCGCCTTCTAGCTTTGCGCTAGAGGGAACTTCCCTTTAGCTTAGAGGTAGAACGTCCGACTAGGAGGACTAGGATCGCGGGTTTGATTCCCGGTGGAAGCATGCTACTCTCGTTCCTGTTACATATGCTTGTGATAAAGTTCGCCTTGATTTAAGTGTTTTGGATGACAACGTACATGTGAAAGAGAAAGCATATCTTTCAAGTTTCCATTATGATTGTCTAAAAACGTTGTCAGTTTCAGTAAACATGTTTTATATGGTTGAAAGCACAGGGGTTTGTTACAAATGTCTGAAATACACATACTATGCTATACTGTTTTGGGTCACAGCACACATAAACATACACCTTTATGTGTGCTGTGACCCATATCAGTATAGCATAGTATGTGTATTTCAGACATTTGTAACGAACCCCTGTGATTGAAGTGAGTTGGGGTACATCAAGTTCAATATAAGCAACAAGACAAAGTTGCCACCCTTTACAAGATATATACTATACAATGCACAATTGTCACCACATATCGTGTTGTAAACGAACATTAAAACAATCTAATTTTAGTATCAGGAAGTGTGTCTGATAAGATCTAGTGCAACATCTGGGAACATATCCACATATTTCTCTGAAAAGGGACTTAACGTCACAGTACCCAAATTGGGACACTTGAAGGAAAAAATCACAAGAAATTTGCATGCTGTGCAAAGAAGTATTTTTAAATTGAAAATATTGATTAAAAGATGCTAATATACCAATAAAACATTATATGAACTTTATTTACTGCCTCTTATGTTACAATAAGTTTTAGTTTGTAAATAATGACAAAAATGTAACATTCTAAACTGATGCCCCATGCAACGTTATTGATTTCAATTATTGATTTCAATTTTTGTATGTAATTTTTTTACAATCCTACTATTTCACAACTAATGGTACATTGTAGTTTGGAAAATAAGTTCATTCAGACAACCCTTGACTCTTATATATTCCAAAGATATGTCATGTTCTGCTAAATACTTTTTTCATCTCCAAATATAAGCCAAAACTGGTAGGGGTGTCCCGATTTGGGTACAGCTTCACATGTTTCGGGATTACGTAACTGTTAAAGTTGTGCATTGATTAGGTTGCCTTACAAGTGTCAGCTGCAGAGAATATTTCCCTTCAGCTCAGCGGTAGAGCATCGGGCTGGATAGCCAAGGGTCGTGGGTTCGAGGACCAGCGATGGCACTATCTTTATCACTATTCCTCGTCCTATTATAAATTGATGCCGTTGACCCTGCATGCTCATTCAAGGTAGAATCCTTGACGGGGAGTCAAAGAACCTGGCATGGGTTGGTGTTTGAAAAAAGGGGGAATAGTGTAAAAGATGTACATTGATTAGGTTGCCTTACAAGCGTCAGCTGTAGGGAATTTCCCTTTAGCTTAGCGGTAGAGAATTCGGCTGGAGAGCCAAGGGTCGTGGGTTCGAGATCCAGCGACGGCACCATCTTTATCACTATTCCTCATCCTATTACATAACCATGGCTTTACTTCCGGTTCTATTTATAGAACCACGCACCGGAAAGATAATGATATCTATTTAGGAAAAGTGAACTTAAATTACTGGGATCAGTACTATGGTATGAAATACATCAATATTTCACTAAAAAGTGTCCAGATTTGGGTACTGTGACGTCAGGGGTGTAGAGAGCGAAAGTAAGCGTAACCCCTGGATATCGAGGATGAATGCTAGTCGTTTTGGTAACAAGTTGTTTCGGGAGTCCCGAAGTTGCTTCGGGACAGATACAATTTTCACTTATAAATCGCTCCCGTTTCATAAAAAGTCATGTAAATACACAAGTATGGTTTTAGTCCGAGACCTGTATCACGACCTACCCGTGCTTGGCATCATTATAGTGTTAACAGATTGCTAGTGCTTGATGGGATACCTACCAACATTTACCCGATTGACAGTGTGTTGTTACCTGATGAAACTAATCTCATTATTAAATACAGATCTAGGGGAACTTATGATATTCAACATCAATTTCTTTAATTATTATTTTTGCTGTATTGAAATTGAATTTCATGAAAGTAAAAACGTGAAACACGTAGAATATATTTTAGACATGTGAATCAATTCATCAAATCCAGCAATATAGTTTGACGATGTTTTTCTGTTGTGTATTTATGTCAGTGTGAATATTATATTTATCTATTCATGTGTTATTAAAATCATGTAATGGTAAATGTATGAAGGGAGAAGGCTATGTTAAGTTGTAATAATTTTTATCCAATCGATTGTCTAAATTAAGTTGACATTAAAACATGTTTAAAGAAAAATAAAAGAAGATAAAAAAAATGAAAAATCCCGAAACGACTTTTGGCATGTCCCGAAACGACCCGAAAAAATTCCCGAAACGATTTTCATCTTCGAGGATGAATTCCAACCGGCAAATGAGAGAACTGTGATGCAAGTTCGCTATGTTATGAAATTTTATGGAAATATTTCAATTGAATAATGAAAGATGTTTAGCTGTTTGTTATGGGTTTTTTTACGAAAAATATCTCCACCTTCCACAGGGTTCATGAAAATATTAATTCTCTAACAGACCATTTCTGCTTCTGCAAGGTAAGTCCATAACAGCCTCCATGTGGAAAACTTTTTCATTTCACCAAAGTTCTTAGCCATTTCTGGACTAGCATATCGGGAAACAAGCGGGGAGCGATAGTTCAGATGCTCCAAGCTTTTAGCAGCCAGTGAACCAGCCATGCTGATGCTGATCTGAGGAGCCGGTCGGTTGAACACATGCAACTGGTCACCTTAAAAGCGTCTTCAACCGACAACATACGTCTTCAAGTGACAACAAGCGTCGCCAGACAAAACCTTTTTAATACCGAATAAAGTAAGCGACATCAGAAGATATGTTTTCAATATGACTATACACAGTGGCGGATCCAGAGGTTTTTTTTAGCCCCCCCCCCCCCCCCACACACACACCTCAAGAATTTTCTTAAAAAATCATGTATTTACACACATGCCCCNCCACTGATACAACTCTATACCAATTTTACCCAATTCAACCCAATTCTACCCAATACAAGTGTCGATTTACCCAAACAACCCAATACAAGTTGGACCCGGGTATTTTTTGGCAAGATCGTCGATATTTGGAATTCCTTGATTCAATCTATTTCATTTCAAAATATTTCATTGTTGATACAAACAAAGATAAATACAATGATTATAGTTGAAATATAACAATACATGTATTAACAAAGGGACCAGACAACAGGCTTAGCCTATATACATGTACAACCCAATACAAGTGGGACCCGGGTATTTCTTGGCAAGATCGTCGTTATTTGGAAATCCTTAATTCAATCTATTTCATTTCAAAATATTTCATTGTTAATACAAACAAAGATAAATACAATTATTATAGAAGAAATATAACAATACATGTATTAACAAAGAGACCAGACAACAGGCTAAGCCTACTTTTCTTATAGATACCGTTATCCAATTATTTTAATTTCATTAATATATTGAAGTTATCTGTGGAAGATAGGACAATAACGAAAAACAATGATAATACTCACTCACTCTCATACTACCATTCGTAATTGGTATATTTTATATCGTTAGAACTTGCATGTATAAGGATATTACTTATGAATTGAGAATCGTTAAGTTTTTTAAATAGGAACTAGTATAATTAAGTATATTTCTATTAGTTTTTTAGACATACCAATTACACCATGACAACATGGCTGAGATGATGTCAATTTACATAGTACGCAATAAAGACTCAGTCCTGAAAAAAATATAAACTTCCAAATCGCTGCCAAACATTATATTTTTCATCGGGTCCGGATGAGAGGGTCCAGGGCTTTCAATTGTCACATGTACATCTCCGATCGTCTTGCACGTCAACGGGAAACCTATGACAAATTAAAACTTTTTTTGTTTGGGCTTGAAACCTTATTCAACAAAGACTGCCCCGTGTGTTATAAATGTACTTACTTTTTCATGTAAAAAATAGTCTTTGGTAACTGTCTGTCTCTTCGCACAATCAGTATGCGATTGTACAGCAGTACTTTCAGGCCGACAAAAAATTCTTTTCATTTAAATTTAGAAATTTCTAGATGGTATTTTGATTTAAGTGTTGTAAGATGGTTGAATGTAAGACGCAAACAATACATTTAAAAAGATACTGGTTGATTGTATTCTAAATACACATTGGCATGAAAATGGAAAATGAACTATCAAATCGCGGATATTTCCGATCTTCATTTCCATAAACACGCATTGGATCGTGAGTACATTGTCTGATGCACCAAAGTACACCTGAAGAAAACGATTTACTTGCATTGACGGCTGAGTCGACCATTAACTGCAATTAGCGTTGAGATATGGGTATTTTCAATGTGTATGTAATAAATTTACACTAAATAACAACCAACTGGCCTCAGATTAATGAGTTTAGTTGGCGAGATGTCTGTCGCGCAGACAAATTTTTAAGATTCGTTGTGCTACAAGATATTTAATAACTGTTTTTATTGATAATACAACTTTTCCCTTCTTATAACTCTTCTTGTCAAAATGTTTGAAGGTTTTTTATGACGTCACATGGCATTTTCGTCACATGGAGGCGAATTTGGGTGCATGGCGAATGTGCCTGCAATAAAGTTACCTCTAAGATTAACCTTTAAAGTAAGCGACATCAGAAGATATGTTTTTCATTTTACTATGATACACCTATGTACCAAAAATGACATAGTAATGATGAATTGATTTTTTACGATCGGCGCCCTTACACACGTGTGTAAAGAAATTTATAAATCGTGAAGCGTCTTTAAACCATATCTCTAAAAATAATCTAAAAAGTAAGCGACATCAGACGATATGTTATTCATATGACTATAACACACGCAGTGGCGGATCCAGAGACCTATCTGTTGTTTTTTTTCAAATTTCCAGGGGAGGTTTCCATGTGGGGAAAAATTGAGGAAAGTGGTGAAAATACATGANACACCTTTATACAAAGTTTCAGGTCGATATTTAATCAAATGGCAGAGTTATCGTAAGTACACGTATGAAGCTCTCGGCGTGTCACATATGTGTACATGTACGTAGGACTTCGATCGTATAGCTGAACACGGCCAGCCCGGATCATATTGCTGTATAAACATTGTTTCACTGACTTCAATTGCTGTGATGGTATAATCACATTACGTTAACAATTAGACGTCTATATTACTTTATATGTAAACATTTGCACCAAAATATATACTTTTTAATTTTTACTTAAATTAATATTAATTAACTTAAAGCCTGTTTTACTTAAATAAATCACGGACTTAGGTCTAATCTAATTAGATTCCTTGGCTTGATAAACTTAATTACACTTAACAATATGTTAGATTATCCGGATTTATTTTATTTACTTTTTTTTTTGCTGAAAACATTTTTATTGAGTAGTATAGTAAATAAGTCAAGTGGGAAGGGGTGCTTTATTTTGGAGCTTCTCGGCACTTTTTGAGGAAGATGGTGTCCCTAAAAAGGTCAGTTTATGCATAGTCTATGACAAAATAACACAAGAAAAGTTTATTGAATTGTTATTTAATATAAAATCTATTACTATCTCGCAAAAGGTTGATGAGTCGGATAGAAAACGTATAGAGACATTGGACCGAAAAGATTTTAACAACTGACGATCAAGCGCGGGGTGTTTTACAAAAAGATTGAAAAACAACAATTGCAAATCAATGGATCACATGATCAAGTTTCAAACTTCTCAAGTTCCCGATCGAATTCAGGGTTTATGTACTTTATACCATTCAACAGTCTCAATACTCTGATGTACCACAGAATTAGATTAAGTCTAAGTCCGTGGATGATGTACTTAGAAAATTGATTGTCTAAAAGGTTGAACGCTTGTTGTCAGTCGAAGACGCTTGTTGTCGGTTGAAGACGCTTTTAAGGATGACCCAATGCGACTTCCGGTAACGGCGTGAAAGTGAAAGTAGAATTTGATTAACTCGGCGACGATCGGGAACCGTCGGCACTTTCCGTAAACGAGAAAATACTTTTTTTTAAAATATTTTCTCCCCCGTTTACGGAAAGTGCCGACGGTTCCCGATTGACTCGGCGATTGATTGGTTTTCGCGAGAGTTGTCTCTCTTTAGGTAAACTTTTGCTTTTTGTATTGTTCAGCAGTGTCTTAATGTTATTTTTATTCAATACACTAACAATTATAGCACTCATGCAATTTTAGGATTTTTTTAGAACAGGAGTGGATATACCTGTTAATGACGACGCAAAACCGAATTAAAAACAACGTTATATGTAATATCTCATGGTCCCCTTTGCTGTATCTATACCTATGTTTCATAGTCTCAAGGTCCCCTTTGCTGTATCTACACCTATGTTTCATAGTCTCATGGTCCCCTTTGCTGTATCTATACCCCTGTATGACGTCACATATTTACAACAGGTACTTTATTCGTGTAAACTATCGCAGAATAAATTCTAACTACAGGCATAGTTTATTGAATGAATTATCGAGTGTATAATAAATAGGTTACATAATACTAACCATACATATGTTCTGAAGTGCCATAACGTGTTCGAGAATTGCTAAGAGAATGCGCTCTTTGATGCGAAGTCTGGCGAAAACAGCAAAAAGCGAAGCAGATAATACAGTTTTCACGAGTGTTTTATACGTACCTAGGCAGAGGTAGGGAAATATATCCAAGTCTGTGGCAAGTCTCTTACTTTATATTTTGCGTATTGTGCAATACGTGCATTCTTCTGCATTGAAGCTGTTGTTTTTATGTCGACATGCCACTTAAAATGATTAATTCCGACACCACAAGACCCAAAACGACTTAATGTAAGCTATTCAAACAGCACATGAAAATTATATATATATATATATTAATTAAAGCTAGTCGGGTGGTGCAGTGGATAGCGCACTTGTCTTTCACCAAGGCGACCGGGGTTCGATTCCCTGACCGGCCTTGAAAAAGTATAGGGTCACCTGCCCGACCACGTGTACACTCGCCAGAGAATGTATCGGCAAATACATTTCCGCAGTTTACCTAATATATATACATCGTTTTAAACTTATGTTGACATATTTATCGAAAATGTCAACATCTTTTAAAATTGAATTGATATCTTTTAAGACTGATGTCAACATGCATGTAAGTAATTCAAGTCGAAGAAAGAAATACGGCACCATATGAAACGCCCGACCAATATCTGTGTTTCACATTTAACAAAACATTCGACCAATACCTGTAATTTAAATATGATAGAACTTCCGAATATCATCTATGATAAACATTAAACAAAGACACCAGACAAATATATTATTTACATTAAACGAAACGCCAGACACATCTTTGATTTATAGTAATCAAAACGTCCGACCAGTAAAACGAAACGTCCGACCAATACCTGTAATATATACATTAAGCTACTTGTTGACCGACAATTATAACATAGAATATGACATAATAGAACAACTTATCAGTTAGGAATGACCTTAATTATATATTTAACTAACATCTGTGATAGGCCTACTTGACTTTTAATATACCGTCCAAAACTGTTCTTCACAATAAAAGTAACGCCCGAACTACAGGTTCCCTAATTCGGCATACTTTTATTTTCCAATGATCAAAAACGGAAAAAAATCACAATGCTACAAGTAATTTTATTGAATCTGCACCAAGTGACCAATCGTTAAACAATATGTATAGCTCATCACGTACAACATCGTAGAAAGCAAATATAACTGAAGTCAA